ATTAAAGTTCACTTATGTAGTCAAAATAAAACCCATAATTTCAATCCTTAGTGTATCACTGACCTTCCACTTTTGCCAGCCCTAGCTGTTCTTCCTACCCTGTGTACATAGTGCTTGACTGTGTTCGGCATGGTGAAATTAATAATCTGAGAAAAAAGTATGATATAAAACAAAATTACAATTAGTTTAGGCTAACAACAAATTTCAGAATATATTAGCAGCAGCAGCCTGTCGGCCGATATAGCTGTGCTGTTATCACAACAAAATAAAAGGTATCTTCCTAGTAGGTTTATAAAGTTTCATGAAGAAATCTAAATGTTAATGTGGACGGGCAAATCAGCAACATAACTAGCTCAACTTTGTTGACAACAAAGTTAATAATATAATCCTTTGGTTCATCACAAAGATACTTTGCAGCCATTTGCCTTTAGCGTTCCTTTAGTTGATATACTTACAGTTTTAATACCTTCAATATCCAAACCACGTGCAGCCAAATCAGTCGCTAGCATGATATCGATATTTGATTCCTTGAATCGTCTCAATGTTTCTAAACGCTATTGACAAATTTAACAACACATGTTAATTACTTTCTATTGGGTAATCCATGGATGGAATTGATAATAAATCATGCAAACATCCCTAGGCTGAGTGCACATTTCTGACTTTATAACCAGACTGAAAACATTATGATAACATACAGCATATTTTCTTGATCACAAGTTGACCTACCCTGATGTTGTTTCACATGATAGGGTTAGAATTGCATGTGATACTATCAACAATTTCTGAATACATACACAACGCATTGAAAAGTAAAATTTATTATTATCAAAGTTGCCATATGATTTAAAACATCACAAGTGTTTATGTTTTCATGTACCAAGTATAGCATCTAATGTTTATGTAATCACTGATTTTAACTCCACAATTTCAACCAGTATATTTTTTCATCATAATTTTGTATTAAAAAAAATATATTAATCTGAAAACTTGGCCACCATTAAAATTATCACCACATATCTAAAACATTGCCCAAGTGATCTTTCAGATAAATATGGTAATTAATCAAAAGTATTGAAGGTATCAATTTGTTATGAAGGCAACAGTATAGTTGCTTTGTTCACCTCTCTAATATATTTTTGATGGTGACCCACAAACCCAAGGACGGACTGAGTAATCACATCAGAGAACATCACACAATATAGAGTTTTATAACAAGAACTCAGAACAATTCTACTTTTTCAGCTTACTCTTGTTTACACGCAAAGATGGCAGCAGTGATTGATTAATGATCAATATCAATACTTTCAATCTTACCTGCGTTTGTGATAGGTTACCATGCAATTCACCAACATTAAGTCCAAGCATTCCAAGAATAATGTGAAGGCGATGACATTGTTTTTTCGTCTGTACAAATACGATCACATGATCATGGAATGTTCTGCTACATAAAGCTACAACAACAAAAAAAGATGTAATGTTAGAATTAAATGAAAGAAAGATCATAATGCTGAGGTCATTAAGGTCATCTCAAAGAGATCATCTAAATAGTCATCAATTTCATCCCACTGAGACTGACATGGTTATCTCAGAGGTCATCAAAGCCATCCCACAGAGACCAGCACAGTCATTCACCAAGGTCACCAAAGGCATTCCACTGCATGAGACCGAGACGGTCATCTCAATAAAGTCATCAAGGTTGGGACCGGCAAGACCATCTCACCTAGGTCACCAAGACCATCCCATTACGACCAGGAAGGCCAATCACCAAGGTCATCATGGCTGTCCCACTGAGACCAACACAGACATCTCACCAAAGTCACAAAGGCCATCCCAGTGCGACCAGCAAGGTTGTTCACCAAAGTCACAAAGGCCATCCCAGTGCGACCAGCAAGGTTATTCATCAAAGTCATCAAGGTCATCCCAGTGCGACCAGCAAGGTTGTTCACCAAAGTCACAAAGGCCATCCCAGTGCGACCAGCAAGGTTGTTCACCAAAGTCACAAAGGCCATCCCAGTGCGACCAGCAAGGTTATTCATCAAAGTCATCAAGGCCATCCCAGTGCGACCAGCAAGGTTATTCACCAAAGTCATCAAGGCCATCCCATTCAGACTGAGACAGTCATCTCACTAAAGTCATCAAGTTTGAGACCAGCAAGGTCATTCAATGAGGTTATCACTTTCAGCATTTGTTTTCAATACAACGGTTTGTCATTGAACCACATCACTCAACAAAGTAGACCTTTGCTGACAATACAACGGTTTGTCATTGAACCACATCACTCAACAAAGTAGACCTTTGCTGATAACATATTACACCATGCTACACTCCTTACCTGCTGCAATGGCCTCCCTGTCACCTTCTCTGTTCTCTCGTATTCTGATGAATTCTTGTCTCAGATTATAAGCTACATCAGTATTTTCGTTGATAAACAATCTGACAGGATTCTTGAGAGAAACAGCCACAAGGTCTTTGACCTGCAAATGTACAGGTCAAGTTAAATGTAATGAAGCACTTTAGATGAGTCTTAAGATGTTTGATGCCTAGCATATGAAGACAAATTTTTGTAACAATCCCCTAATTATATGCAATTCCACTGATACCTATAATATAATTTACCACACACACACAGTGTGTTAGCTTGACATTACTAGATTGGCATAGTAGTTAGTGGAGCTCCTCAAAGACACTAGGCTGCACACAGTGTGTTAGCTTGACATAAGTTTTCTCAATACATCCAGTTGTCTATCATAACAACATGGATTCAAGTAATACATTTGGATCATTCTGATCTTTATTTACTCCTCTCTCCTTTTATATTTCACTGTATGTGTTCTCATCACCTTAAAATGTAGGCCTTTGACCTTGCATGTAATTATATTTTTCCCTTCCCCTATATAATCTAATTAATCAAGACTGAATACTTACTTCATCTGTCATGGTAGCTGAAAACAGCATTGTTTGTCTCGTAATGGAACACATTCGTATGATCTCTTTCATCTGCTCCTCAAAATATTCATCCAACATTCTGAAATGAGAGAATTGAAGAGATCGTCATGAACTGAACAAATCTGACAGAAGTACGTATATACCAAGTTTCAAAGCAATTGAGCTGGTAGTTTTCAAGAAGAAGGTGACAATGCAATTGTAGATGGGCGACGGTCGGTCAATCACTTATATGAAATAATTTGAGTTAATTTTGTACTAATTAAGAACACTCAAATTGGCTGTCAATGTTGTGGCAAAACCTAAAAAAACCAAAATCCCCATTTTTTTTTTATTTATCTACCGGTAACTGTAACTATGACAACTCAACTAACCTATCAGCTTCATCCAATATAAGAATCTCAATATTACTCAGACTAAATGATGGAGCATTATGTAGATGATCTATGAGTCGACCAGGAGTTGCTATAACGATATCAGGACCCTGGCGAAGAACTGCTTCTTGAAGTTTCACATCCAAACCCCCTGGAAGTAAAATATAACACCATATATTATAAATCTTATTCATATACTACTCCACTTCAAGATTTGAGATGCTAACAGTTTTTTTACAGTTAAATTAATTTTTTATCGGTTTTGTTCAATTTCAATTTCTAAATTCATTTAAATTTGTATTTGTGGAAGGTAAGTCAATTTGACAAGGGTGGTTACAAAATTTGGAACAATAAGATGCAGAAGTGCTATACCACATGATGGAAATTGAATCCAGTGACTGAAAGCTAAAGTTCACACAGAAAGATCATGAGGTCAACTTCAATGGTCAGCTGCACACTGGTACATACTGCTCAATAGCTTGCCTTGTAGCATTCATAATTTAAAAGATGGTGTTCATTCAGAGGGGCAAGTGAATCTGTTGGTACACACAACGTATTAACACAGGATAACTGGCACTTAGCTATACAAGGATCCTGGCTACCCTAAATAAAAAAGTAATGTTCAACAAGTCATTGAAAATGACACAGTCCCCGTTAAGTTCTCTTTGTGCTCGTCATATTAAAGCGGAAGGGTTGTCGCGAGCGTGTCCTTGAAACTTGAGTTCCAAGTGGCATATATAACAGATTGTTTATTTACATCAAAACACGTGTTTCGTGTCGGAGAAATATGGCCAAAATAAAAACAGTAGTTATTTGGCCATCTTTGATCCGATTATGAAACACACTGATATGTATGATGTATGTGCCAAATACAAATAAAAATGATACAATAATTGTGGAAATATAGTAGTAAGGCCAAAAAGTCAGATGGCTGTCAATCGGCCATCCTTGACCAGATTTTGAAACAAATTGTCATGGCATCCTAACATGTATGTGCCAAATTTGAATGAAAACTGACAGAGCACATCCAAGATACCGCATAAAAAAAAAAAAAAAGATGCCTGCCAGTTTACCATCTTTGATCCAATTGCGAAATAAATCATCATGGACATGTATCCTAACATGTATAATCTATGTACCAAGTTTGAATGACAACTGACAAAGCATGTCCAAAATACAACATTTTCAAAAAACAAGATGGCTGCCAGTCGGCTATTTTGAATCGAATTGCTAAACCACTGCATGTGCATATGTCCCACATAAGGTACTAGGCACATGCAAAGAATGAACGGAATCAGTCCACAGGATTCTGAAACATGACGTTGGACAGACTGACAGACGGACACACGAACAGACAGACTCAGGAACTCACGGATGGTCGGGGACATGTATCCTAACATGTATGATCTATGTACTAAATTTGAATGAAAACTGACAAAGCATGTCCAAAATACGACATTTTCAAAAAACAAGATGGCTGCCAGTCGGCCATTTTGAATCGAATCGCTAAACCACTGCATGTGCATACGTCCCACATAAAGTACTAGGCACATGCAAAGAATGAACGGAATCGGTCCAAGGGATTCTGAGATATGACTCCGGACGAACGCACAGACGCACGGACGGACCGAGACCGAATTATAAGTCCCCGTTTTCGGACTTCGTCCGAACGGGGACTAATAAATACTGATGTAAAGCACATTGCTTGTAAACGTATTATATTTAAGTAAACTCACCGACTGCCAGACATGAATCAATCTCAGTAAACTGGGCAAGCTGTCTAGTGACGGAATGTACCTGAATTCCCAGTTCTCGGGTGGGCACCAAAACTAACACACGAGTGACTGCAGCTTGTTTAGGTTTATACAGCAATCTTTCAAGCACAGGCAACATGAACGCAGCAGTTTTACCTGGAAAGAGAATGATACCTTCAGTTGAATGCATATTTCAATGAACACCATCATTGACATGTGAAATGGTCACCTCAGGCTAAACAATTAATTATTTCCAAGAACAGTAGATTCATTTTGATCACATGATAACCTTGTATTTTTTACAGAGAAGCATTAAAGCACAGGATTTGTCATCTGCATATATGACAGATGGCCATAACGTGTCGTTGTTTACAAACGCGAGTCTACCCATGAGCCTTTGCAATTTTAGTGCACATTGTTATCGTTGCTTAGGACTAAATTCTTGCTTGTGCACAGGTGACAACCCCTGCTCTTTAATCGTATTTGTGGAAGTAGGATATGAAAGATGTGAACGGACAGACACAAACACACACATACTAGCTCTTGTATCAACTTAGAGCCAAAAGTTCCAAAACATACCGGGTATTACAGTCATGGTGGTTCATGCATGTGTTTTTTTCCCAGCTAAGAATTATCCATTATTTAGATCTTCAAAAACAATGATTTAAAAACAAAGAAAGCTTAGAAAGAACTCCCGTGTGCTGAGAGAGTATTGGAGACACATTAAAAATTAATTCAAAATTACTTGAACTTGACATATTGATGGATACTATACTAATATAGTACTAATTATGCAAATAAGGTAACTAATATGAACAGATTTAAGTGTAAAACTAATAAGGTCTGCACAATGTAAAAGTAATAAGATCTGCGTAAATTAATATCTTTGTACCAAGTTTCATTGAAATGTGATTAGAACCAAAAAATTATTAATTATTATGCTAATTAGAGAATTAATATGAACAGATTTTAACCCAAAATTAATCAGGCTGTCTATTTGTCCTAGAGCATTTATGTACCAAGTTTTATTCAAATGTGATGATCAATACTTGAGATATCAGTATTAATTAATTATGTTAATTAGGTGATTAAGAAGCATTAAATATTTACCAAAAACTAATATGGTGTATAGTCCTAGGTTCATTGAAATGTGATCAGTACTCTTTAAAAGTTTCATTAAAATCCAATGAGTGGTTCTTTAGACATCAGTGCAACAGCCATAGAACATATATGCACAATTATTTATCCCAAAATTAATCAGGTCTCTGCATAGTCCTAGAAGATCTATGTCGCAAGTCTCATTGAAATGTGATGATTAGTACTTGAGATATCAGGTGAAAAGCTGAAAATTAACTAATTATGCTATTAAGGTGATTAATATGCACAAATATTCATCCAAAAACTAATTAGGTCTCTGCACAGTCCTCAAGTAACTATGTACCAAGTTTCATTGAAATGTGATGATTACTACTTGAAATATCAAAAGCTGAATATTAATTAATTATGCAAATTAAGTAGTTAATATGTACTGATATTACCCTAAAAACTATCAGGTCGTTGCAGTGTCATATGACATCTATGTACCAAGTTTTATTGAAATGTTATGATTAGTACTTGAGATATCAGTGGAAAAGCCGAAAATTGATCAATCATTATGCAAATTAGGTAATTAATTAGGTAGTAATTAAAACTAATCAAATCTGCGCATTAGTTCAGAGCATCCATGTGCCAAGTTTCATCAAAATCCAATGAGTGGTTCTTCTAATATCAGTGAAACAGTCATGGAACAGCTAAAAATCAGCTAATTATCATGCAAATTAGGTAATTAATATTCATGGATTTTTATCAAAACCTAATCAACTCTGCACATTATCCCAGAGCATCTATGTACCAAGTTTCATCAAAATTTGATTAGTGGTTCTTGAGATAACGGTGGAACAAAAAAAGTGACATACAGACAGGGTAACTGCAAAGACTCCCTTTTGTGTGAAAAAAAACACTAGTACAGAAATTTTTGATATATTCAATAGGCAAAATCACCTCACCCCATTTTTACTAGGACTTCAAAAATATCTCATTGTTGTTTCAAATAAAATTTTGATAAAATTTTATATTCATGAAAATTTGCAAAATCGTGCCCTAGAATAAACACTGAAATGCATTTCTAGTAAATAGTATTACACATTCTGTAAAGTGCAAAAACACACACCTGTTCCTGTAGCAGCACAAGCACAGATATCTTTTCCCAACAAAGCAACTGGAATAGTCGCAACTTGGATCGGGGTTGGGTGAACAAAATTCATAGCATTAATAGCCTGAAAAAAATGAAGACATGAAAATGTTTGATATATATACATAAAGATCCCCTGTCACCAACATGATATTATAAACACTACATAAAATCAGATGCCACAAATAAATTTGTATGATATTTTGGAACATTCCTATCAGTCACATACATGTAGGTTTCATCGTCGACGAAATTCAAACACCGTAATATCTGGCATTATAAATCATGAGGCACATGCTTTTGGAAAAATGGGATTTGTGTTAACCAATATTCAGACCGATATTATTTGAATCAGCCTTTCATATCTATCAAACCCATTGCTAATGTCAGGCCAAAGAATAATTTTATGTAGACTTTCAGCTAAGAAGGAAAGGACCGACCGACCAACCAACATCAGCCGTCCAGTGATCTACGGTAGTAAATAAGGTAAAGATTAATTAAACCTGTTTTGTTACAGTATTCTCACCTTCAAAAGTGGTCTAGAAAGATTCATATCCTGAAAACTTGTATTTTCGTCCAATGGCGGGGCATCTTGGAAAGTTAATTGATTGGAATCTGAATTCATTGATTTCACTTTATCTGTATTGAGATACAATATCAAAAAAGCATAGAAAGAACTCTCATGTGCTGAAGGTATTGGAGGTATGAAGTGCAAATAAGAAATACTGTATTTACATGTATAATATTAGAAGCACATATTCCATACAACATATAGCAAAAATATCGCTTATTGCATGCAAAATCATTGAAATATGTCATATTTTGAACATAGACTAGTATTTGTCATTTACATTCACAGCAAGCATGTGCGCTTCTAGTAGAGCATATATGTCATTTAATAATGTAACTGCAAAGCAGTGGCTATGGTATAACCATTATAAATATTTAAGGAAATCATGACTTGATATTATGTTCATATATTTTGTCGGACAACAAAATTATAGCACCAGCTGCTTGTGCCTATCTGGAACAGTATTTAAGAACCCATTTACACAAGGTAGGTAATATGCATGGTTTCAACTCTGAAGTAATACGATCTGTGGATTATATAAAAGCACCTAGTATGGACCTAGTTAAAATTTGAAGGTACTCAAGTTATTTATTCAAATTAGGTAATTAGTAAGCACAAAATTAACCCTACACTAAACATATGGCTTATCCCAGAGCACCTTTGTACCAAATTTTATTGAAATCAGGTGAGATATTGGTAGGAGCTAAAAATTGGCTAATTAACAAGCAAATAAGGACAATAATATGCAAATATTACAAACAGAAACTAAAATGGTCTGCGTGTTATCCCAGAGATCTAAGTACCAAGTTTAATTGAAATCTGTTGAATGATACATGGGGAAAAAGGTGTAAATGCCAATTTCTACCTTTTCCTTTTCTTTTCTTTTTCTCTCGTTCCAATGTTTTTTCATGTTGTTTCTTGAGGAGTAAAGTATCAGCTATGAGTTCATCATCTGATAAACTTTCAAGATCACTCTCTGTATCACTATCTTCATCCTCATTTTCCTCTCCATCTTCTTTCTCCTCACTTTCTTCATTTTTTTCCATTTCCTCTTTATTTTCCTCTAACTGCACCTTATTATTATCTTTTTTCGAATATGTTTTCTCAGTTAATTTTTCTTTCTGTAAATAAATAATGCACAGTCCCTTTTTGATCAAGCCACACAAAATTACACAATCAATGGTATTACTTTCAGACGACAACAGATTTGAACTTTGGAGTTGGACACCCATTTTTTACGGTAAGATCTTAAAAAATTGCCTTAAAAAACTAGTATATCAGAATTGTACAGAGTAAATCTGAAAACTGTCAGATTATCAAGACAAACTGCCTGGTTATCAAGATGAACTGCCTGGTTATCAAGACGAACTGCCTGGACATTGAGACATTCACGCAAACTCCCTGGAACAAAGCAAACTCCCTGGATACAAGGTAAACTCCCTGGATACAAGGTAAACTCCCTGGATACAAGGCAAACTTCCTGGATACAAGGCAAACTCCTAGACACCAGGACAAACTCCCTTGACATCAAAGGAAGTCATACTTATGTCCCAGAAACGGTTACAAACACATTTACAGGCTTAATTTTATGATTTTAGACAAATGGTAAAATGGAGTATGGTACTTGTGCAAACTTGCAGCTCAATCTGGGCTCTATTACTGACAAATCAGGACAAAATATATAAAAAAATAAAAATGATGACCTACGCCTGGAACCCAATATGCAAACTCACGATATAAAGTTCAAATGAAATCATATAGAAGTCATCATACATGTCCGAGTTGGGATGTGATCGGTCAAAGCATGCCAAAGAAATGGATGCACAGAAGCAAACTTCATTGTATAAAATAATTTTTTTTGTTTATAAGGATTTTAGCTTATCAAATTTGACAACCAACTCACATTTGTATTACAATCAAAGAAAGCTTAGGAAGAATTCCTGTGTGATGAAGGCATGAAGTACAAATAAGGAATACTGTATTTATTATATTAGATGCACATCTTCAATACACATCAAGCAAAAATTTTGTTTATTGCATGCAAAATCATTGAAATACTAGTATGTCTGATTTTGACCATAGACTTGTGTTTGTCATTTATATTCACAGCAAGCACATGTGCTTACTGAAATATAGCAAAATATAACTGCAAGCAATGATTCGGGTGGTTCCAAGTAGCTATGGTTTAAGAATTATAAATATTTAAATGATATAATAACCATATAAGATATTGATATTTTGGTTGTATACAAGTATCTTGTCAGACCACAAAATTACAGCACTATTTGCATGTCCCAATCAGTACTTAAGATATTACAGTTATGCATATTAAGAAGGACAACTAATTACAGGTAATTAATATGTATGGTTTCAACCCAGAAGAAAGAAATTTAAATATGTAGTGACAGTGCATCCTCAGTGGTGTCCATGAGTGAGAATCTCAGTTTGTACCTTCTTTTCTTTCCTCAAACGTGCAATTTTTTCATCCAATGTTGAAAATGAGCTTAGTTTTTTCTTTCGTAAATACATATCAATATTCCATAGGGCTCCATCATCAACAGTTTTTTCAGTGAACTCAAAGCCACTGGCAAATTCTGTGTTTTTTTTCTGTCTCTTCTTTTTAGGTTTGACAGCCTGAAATGACAAAAACAACGCAAGTTAAAGCAGTGAACTGCATCACAGGGGTCCAAGGTTTTTCAAACTTCAATGCACTTGACCCATTACAATCTAAAAGCCAAATTTCTTATTTGCATGGTCAGTAGTTCTGTAAGTACATGTAGTAATGTGAATTACTGAGACTCAATCAACATCATCGATGCTTGCTTCATCAGACAGTAGAATAGCCTAGTATGTGGTCTTGGGGTTAGCTTCATGAATACAGAAGGTTGTGAAGGTTTGAATCACTCTCTAAGCGAGTTGGAATTTTACTCTTACATAAAATCTCATTTAAAGGCCAACATTTACGACCCATGGGATGGGATGGGCAGAGCTTAGTATTCTAATTTGACTGATTATCCAACGACAGCAACTGTCAATCGTTTATTAAATGCAGATAGTTGACGTCTGCGCTAATCTTTTGTTTATGTGTATAGTTACTGATCTGAGCTGTGTAGTGTAAAATAAACAGTTCATTTCTGGTGACAAGGCAGCTTGTTGGAATCCAAATTCAAGTCGGGTATACATTGTATGCACAGTTCATTCTGAAGTGATGTGGTCTATGCTGCAATGTTCAATAAATATATTCAGACATAAATTACGTTGCGTGGAGTAAATCTCTGTTCTGTGATCGGTTGTTTCCATTCTGTCTTGCAATGTTTTTTTAAGATTACTTTCTACCTCAGACAACTAAGAGAACTGTAATAATTGTCTGAGATTACATGTACATTTTGTATATTCAAGTAATATTCATGTTGATTGTCTTTGCATCATCTAATGCGCTTGGAAAATCCTGGATAGTGAATCCTCAGACCCATGTGAAACGAAACACGTTGACTTTCAGTTGTGAGACATGACAACCAGAACGCTGCCAGTGATACATTTCGAGAATAAAACAACAAAATAAACGAAATCAATGGCGTCTTTCGTCTGATTATTTTTTTCTGACTTGGTGTAAATAAAGTCAATTTTTTATGACCACCTTTATCAATTAACAGCGAAAATAGGTTCTGGTCGTTGTTTGGAGGTAAATAAAAACAGCGAGTACTTTCGCAGATCTTAAAATGTGATTTTGGCATGTGGATTTTAACCGGTATTCAGTCGCATAAGGCTCCATAGCCCTATGGGCCGGCCAGAGTCAGTCACGTAAAAATGCTGCAGGCAACATACATGTAGGTCTATAATAATACTGAGAGTGCTCTCTGCATTTTTTTGCGGGTTACTAAATGCGATATTTTAGAACAGCAAACAATAAATAGCAATGTAATTTTTACTAATTCATTTTAGAAAATTTAGTGAATTTTGGGGGGAAAATCTCAATTCACTAGATCGGAGAGAGCAGAGTAAATTATGGTGGTTTGATACCTGTACAAGGACGAGCGCACAAGTGTACATGTAAACACGTGTTCAGAATAAGTAAAGCTGTAAACTACCTAAACTGTCTTGAAATCTTACGAAACTCACTGTACATGTCCAACAGTGGCATGCCGATTCACTAACCTCGTCATCACTATCCGATTCTTCTGAAACAATGTGAATTTCATCATCGTCTCCAATCGTTCCGACAAAACCCAATGCTGACAGCGCCATCTTTAAAATAAAACTACCTAGCTGCACAACATTTAAATCTTCCTTCTATAACATTTTTCTCATTCGATCTTTCACAAAAAATAATACTCCACACTGTAATTACAACATAGCTGCCTTTAATTTGACTGTCATAAATTATAATATATATATATATATATTTTTATGTGCAGGTCGTTTAATAATACATCTTAACAAGTTAGAGGGTCATTTCCGTGGAGAAAAGAAGAATTGACGGGGAATCGCAACAATCATACAACTACCTAACACATTTAAGATTAGCGTACTTGTTTGCTCACCTTTTGTTCACGTCGTTTCTTTTTCGCATTAACAAATAATATCCAGAATAACTATCTTTAGACATTATAAAACATTATATTCATATAAATTTGGGCATAAAACCATGATTAGTTGGGCGTTTAAACATTCGAATTCCTCCATTAAAAACTTTACTTGCTAATACTTGCTTACTTAGGGACTCTACTAATGCATTTTGGCGGGTGATTTCCATGAGTCAATTTGTTGTCGTCAGCACTTACTTAGCTAAAGTTTGTTTTCGCTCTTCACTCGCCAGATTTGCTCAAGTCCCTGTTCTTTCGTACCATACAGCTACAACAAGCATGGGAATACATCAACTCGCAAAGCTAATTGCCGATTGCGCTCCATCGTCGGTAAAGGAGAATGAAATGAAAAATTACTTCGGTAAGTCTCACGCTGGTTTAGTAGTTTTATTCACATTACAACTTTAGCCATTGATAGTTAAAATGTTTATTTTGTCATTGTACATAGTAAAAATAAAACAAACTATTCAAAATGAAGCACAGAGGACCCATGATAGACAGATGATGCTAATAGGATGAGCATTTATTTATTTGTCAAAAGGACCAATATCAGACTCCAGCAAAATAAATACAGGAAAATATACACACAAATTCACAATGACAATAATGGTAACAAATAACTACTGAAACTGTAAAAGTGTTTCAGTACCATAGTTTTGAAAATACACTTGTGTCGTGATAGACTGTACTTGTCTGACATAGCGGCCAGGGTGTTTTTGAGGGGGTGGGCGCTTAGTCATGCACCCCTTTCAAAATGTTGGCCAAATTTTGTTCACCATGTGTCAGATTCGAGGTAGTACTCGTAGTAGGTTTTTTTTGGCGAGATTAAAATTGCAAAATGAACTGTCATTGATTTCAACAACAATTCTACAATGATTGAACAGAAATGATAACAAAAATATGCACAATTTATTACAATATTATTTACATACCATTAGAATTTCAAATGTAAAATTACTTGGGTCTGTGGGAAAATGTTTGAAGTCGAGAGTTTCATCATTATCTTTGAATGTTTTCAATTGTATGCAAACTATCTATGCAAAGCAATTTCTGTCATGTTTCTCGCATGATTTGACCTGCAACACTCTCCCTTATCAGCTCTATCACTCTCCCAACATGAATTCTGAAATTGTTGGCGTTGTATGAGGTTTATTTTTATAATGAAATATAGTGACAATATTCAGGGTTTGTGTAGGGACACGATCAAACTCAAAGAAATTTTCAATGTGGCACCGTCCTCTCAGTCAATATCCTCAGTCACATTAAGCTCACTGTCTGACTTGACTTTATAATATGACCTTCGCTTTCGTGTCAGGTACTTGTTCCTATCTTTACTCATTCGTATTATGTTTTTTTCTCACAGGTTCCCCTTTTCTCTTCATATTCATCTTTGATAGTCAATGCGTTGTGAGGAGTGAGCTACGCTACGCATTCATGTGTATTGTTTCTGTTGGTTCTTTAATATGCAAATTAGCATTCAATTCTATTTTGTGTTTTGATATAGTTTTTAAGTGTTTCGTTTCCCGTGACCTGACCATTTTTAGACTCATTTGCCAAAAGAACATGAGTTTAGATGCTTTCGGGGATGAATTTTGACAAAACAATGTAACCAACCTCATCATGAATACAGTAAACATTTATTTTTACGAAAAAGTTAACTTGAATATTTTACTTCACAAAAACCTCTACTACATCCTTAAACAGGACAGTAATTACCTGTACACTATTGAACAATTAATAACCTGCAATTTATGCTCGAAGATTAAATTGGTGTGACAGTTACCTAGTGAGATCCAAACAATATTAGGTCTACGGTAACCCTTCCAGGGGGTTAAATTCAGAGGAGCCCAAGTTTATTAGTGAAATTTGACAATTTCTGAGAAGCATTTAAATACACAATATTCTACGCGTGCATTTTAAGATAAAATCAAAGCATTCAATTATGCAAGGGATCACTTGATCCTAAATGACTGGCTTGATGAGCTCTTACCTCTAATTAATTAGGTGCAAGTATTTCAAGTTTTTCAAAATTGACAACTGTATACTGTGTTCTGTTATCGAGGTCTCAATCATTGCAGGTCGTAAAGTTGCTATTGATGCCTCGATGAGTATTTATCAGTTTTTAATCGCAGTGCGACAAGATGGCAACGTGTTAACAAATGAAGATGGAGATACAACCAGGTGAGAAATATGTGAAATTCTCTGCCGTATTTTCACTCCCATTTTCATTGTTTAGCCAAACTGGCACATGGCACCAAATTAATATAGACAATTACCTTGCTACTCCATCTAAATTTAGTAGTGCCCTTGGCAAGTTCAAAGTTGGTACGAAAGACAAGAAATATTCATATCCACATATCATCTACAATTTATTTTGTGTGCTTGATCCAGTTTCATTCAAACTTGGTGTTGGTCTGTACTCATGGAGGTCATTGATACACATCATTGATTTTCACGGTTTGGTTCAAAATCATTTCAGTAAGACCTGATGGTATCAAATAATTTATACTTATGATCAAATTATGTGTCGTTTTCTCCTTTAGTGTTTGAATACATTGCATTTACAACCAGTCTGACATTAAGGCTGGGCAAATTTCATATTTGTCTGTGTTACAGTACAATTGAAAATGTTCCTATTGTATTTCTTTATTCATAGTATCTAAAGCCATGCATTGCTTTTATAAAAATATTGAATAGTGCCATTTTCTTATTTTTTAAGAGTTTATAATCAGGGATAAGAATTCCACGAATTTCTAAACCCTTGGGAGAAGGGGGTAAAAATACAAATCTTGTTTATTCACCGGAAGTAAACACACTGTCGGCTGCAAGAGGCCTGTATCAGTGTATGGTTGAAGGGAGACAACTCGTGGTGTCTCCAATGCAGAATGTTCGCGACTCTTTTTCAGTGCAATCATGAAATCCGAAGTGATTTTGAAGTGTTCAAAGTAATATGTTAAGATTAACACGATTGGCTGGGTTTGTTTTGATGGGCCAATCAGTGAAGAGCTTTCGTTTTTCTTTTCACCAAAAACATCATTTTGTTGTTTAAATTGTTAGCTTTGCTGGATCGTTGTTTACAAGTTTAATGCTGGGATAATTGTGAAATTGGTTACAAAAGACAACGAGTTACATGTAGCCGTGCAAGAGATCGATAAAGACATTAGGAACTAATTTCGTTGTGCATGGCTTGACAAGGAAGTGACTTTGACCGTGCGAATCGGGAAGAAAGATGAAGTGGTAAAAAAATTGAGTGACTTCATCAGCAAGTACGAGGTTCCGGGATAAGCGTTAACAGAACACGCGAGAGGAAAAAAACATTGCGAGAAGGTTGCCTTGAGACGGATGAACTTTACTTTCAGCTGAAAATTAAAAATCTCTGAACAGTTCATGTGTGCAGCCAAGAGAAAAAAAGAAAAACAAAACGTCTTAATTTACAGTGAGATTGAAATGTTACTCAATAACCTGTACAACATATTTTACAGGATAGTCCTGACAACATGATTGGTTATGATATGCACATTGCTTTGCCCAATTGCCAAAAATGCCTAAATATTTCTTTGGAGTAATGAATTCTTGTTTTTACTTGCTTAATCAGAGAAATATCAATTTTGTTTTCTGAATTTTCTTTCAGTCACTTGATGGGCATGTTCTACAGGACAATAAGAATGGTAGATCATGGGATAAAACCACTGTAAGTATATAACACAATGTTAACAAACATTTGGTCTTCATATTTATTTGCTTGATGCATCTTTTTACTGGTGCTCCACTGTACATGAATTCACAAAGTCTTGTGCTAAATTATTGCAGTTCACAATAATTCAGAACTAGGGTCACCCCTGAAATATTTTCCACAATTTACCATCAAATATTTCACAACATAGTCTCAAGTCTAAGAAAAATAAATTAAGTTATAAATAAAATAAAATAATAAATTAAATAATAAAGTTATTTGTTTACAGCTATGTATTTGATGGTAAGCCTCCTGATTTGAAATCTGGTGAACTTTCCAAAAGAGCTGAGAAGCGTGAGGAAGCGGAAAAAGCGCTTGCCAAGGCTGAAGAGGAAGGAGAGACAGAGAACGTTAACAAGTATCAAAGGAGATTGGTGAAAGTCACAAAAGAACACAATGAGGAATGTAAAAAGCTGTTAACATTCATGGGAATTCCATATCTTGATGTAAGAATTAAATCTGCATGTACATTTGGGTGGATTCACAAATGTAAACCATTCTTGTTGGTAAAATCGTCCAAACTATGACTTGGCTATTGTCCAATTTGCACAGTTTTGCTGAAGCTAATCGTCCATGGCCGTTTCTACAAACCTATGTGTGATTGTGTTAGAAAATCCTGTATTTGATCTCGGTTAAATGGAATCATTCAATTGGGTATGCCAAGTAGCTGGATCCATCAATCCGCATTCCTGTAATAACAATTTACACCAAATAAAATTAATAGATTTTGCTGTCTAAAATCACGCCATAGCCTGACTGATAAAACATGTGACTTTGCATTTGATTTTCCATGGAAATGCATCCTAACCCATATCTTTGTGTTACATTTACCATAGAAACACACCAGAGCATGTGCTGTTTGATTTCATCAAATAAAAGTTTATATAGGGAATTCTGCTTGGGTATACATGTAATAGTAATGTAACTGCCAAATAAATGAAACTTGGTGGCAAAAATGTCACAAGGCTGGTGCTGCAGTTTTTTATGGTTTTGTTGATACCTACATGTATACATCCTTGCAGTCATTCATTATCCCCTCTTTTTCTGAAAAACAAATTGAAATATTTATGACATTTGTAGTTATTTCAATCTCGGAATACATGCTTTTAAGCATATTGGATAAGAACCTGCAGGTTGTCACAAGTTGTACCCCTTGGTATTCTCAAATTTACCTTTCTAGGCCCCTGGAGAAGCAGAGGCTCAGTGTGCGGAGTTGGTGAAAGCTGGTAAAGTGTATGCGACTGCCACAGAGGATATGGATAGTCTGACTTTTGGATCCTCTACTGTTGTTAGGCACATGACATTCAGTGAAGCCAGGTTAGTACTTTGTTCCAAATTTGGTTGAACTATTGGTCATGTATTTAGTGTAAGTGCTACATCATGCTTACTGCTGATCTCACGTATGTGCCTGAGACATGAGGCTGACTTGTTAAAATTTATATACTACACAAATTCTTAATGTTTTGCTGAGCTAAATGTTCAATCAAATAAATTCAAAAATGGGATACCCAAACATGGAAACGATGACTTTGCAATTACCCCAGTAAGATTAAAGAACGGTGGTCATCGTGCAGCACGTGTTTGATTTTCATGTAAACAAAGAATGTATTTTACATTGCTGTATACGTCACTGAGTCCCATATCGAACAGGATGCGGCGTGACGATCTCCACCCAATATTAAGCCCTACTATGACAGGCATTCAAATTGAAAACCAATCCCAAAAATATACTAATGAGGTTGTTAACTTTTAAAATATATTGGTTGCAGTCCATCCTTGTACATGTATATTATAAGTATAAATAATACTGTAAAAACTGTATTAATGGCATGCATGTATAAACCGAAAATATTTTTTTCTTGTGCACGAATTATAAAAATACTTTTTAAATCAATTCAATACATTTGCCATGATTATATATAGTGACAAGGAACTGAAGATTAGCCCATCAATGACAGGGTGGTTCATGTTCACAAAGTCATTTGATGATCTACTTATGTTTACTGAGAAAATTTACTATCTCTATTCATTGTTTGGAAACATTAATTTTCTTGCCGCATGCCTGCAGTTACATCTCTGTTGTAAGATATTGAAGTTCATGTTTTGGGGAAATTGATCAGTGGAAAAGTGCATGTTAATATGAACATTGTGAAAGCAAATTAATAAATGTGAACCACACATTACTGTTTTATTTATTTTTTTCATTTCATTTCCTTGTATAAATAATTTCTTTGTTGTATTATTTCCCAAAAAGTTCAAATGTTAATTAAAAAATACAATTTAAAATCCTTTTTTGCAAAATTGTGAATTAAAGACACATTTAATAATTAATGTTAATTAACTGGGTGTATGAACTATGACAGTTTTTATGATACTTGTCATTACATAGCAATGACACTTAAAATGTTGTTTGAAGACGACAAATAAAATGTTGTCTCCAAGTGTAATCATCTTTTGTTCTCTGTAGGAAGATGCCTTGTCAAGAATATAATTTGAATAATATTCTGGCTGAACTAGAGCTATCCCAGGATGAGGTAATGTCTCTCACTTTCACTCTGATGTTTTTTCCTGTCATCCCAGTTGTTAGGAACAACGTAAAACTTGAAGTGTGTGGTTTTGCATAAAATGACTATTTTATTAATGGCAATAATAGTTTATTATTATAATAATCATATTATATAATTTTGGTTCTTGTAGTCACTAGTGCCTATTCAATTACAATTGTGAATGTGTAAACTCAGTTGAGCTGTTATCACCGAAAAAAAAAAAAAAGTTTTCAATGCCGTTTTTACCCAGATAACATTATATACAGATAGAATTGAAAGTTGCTTTCTGCCATTCTGTTTCAGTTTATTGATTTATGCATATTACTTGGGTGTGATTATTGTGATTCTATCAGAGGTATTGGACCAAAGAGGGCTATAGACCTTATTAGACAGCACAAAACCATAGAAGAAGTCATTGCACATCTTGATTCAAAGGTCTGTATAAAAATCACCAGCTCTGTATGATCATAAAGAGAAACACAACTGTATGTCCTCTATATGCTTTTGTCTTTAGCTTTGAATGTATGCATCATTCTACTTGATATGTCACTCCAAGTGCCTAGCTAGTCCAAGCTGCAATTGTGATGAGTTGCTGCTGACAGTAGATTCTATTGTTAGGCATTGGGGGAGAAAATATCACATGGATTTCCAGATCAAAATCAAGAACTAAAATTAGTTGGTGAAATTTATGTCGCTACATCAGCAATCAATTTGTATATTGTACATCCCCGATCATAAGCCCAGAGGCCTCAACATGTAAAATCAGGGGAAAGATGATTTTTTTGGGGTTTTTTTGGTTTACTATTGTAACCCTCTTACCATCCACAAAAAATTATCCTAATTACATTTTTCGTTCTCCATGCCAGGCGCAGAGAATATTAGTCTTTTTGAAGAAAAAAGCAAACAAGTCGTCATTGATTTCTGTAACACTGTTACAATGAAGAAACGAACATGTTCATAAAAATACACACATTTTATTACAATACGATTTACATACAGTCTGAATTTACGGGTAGGGTAGGGTATGTTGGAAAACAGTCAAAGGCAAGATTGTCTTCGTTGTGGGATGTTTTTCGCAAACTTCTTGCAAATTAATTCGAAAGGTAAACTAAGTGTGGAGGTAGCAGGGGTTTTTCTTTAAAAAAAATGAACAAGAAGGAGCACACACAGGCGGATCGACCTGGAAACTCCATATCGGGAGGTTTCTGTGTCGTTTTAATGATGTATCTATCGCCATTGAAATATTTTCGGAGTAATTTTAGTGTATTTGGTGTCCATTGTCAGCTGGTGTTGCTGGGAAGTTTTCATGGAGAAAAATATATTTGAGAAAATAAATATACCGTATTTATGACATAAAAGTTCAATTAGCAATTTGGTAAAAGGGCGCCATCAGGGAGTATCAGGGTGCTGTTTCCAGGTTTAGAAAAAACCCTTGGTAGTATTTAAACACCTTTCACGTTCGCCAACCGGTCACGTTGACTAATTCACACCCTATTGATGATAGTCTCAATGGATTAGATTATTCGGAATGTAAAACAATGTCCAATGACCAGGTTTCAATAACCAAACTACCATACTAAGTAAGATTTGTATGCAGTGAAACACACTTATACCTGTATATTTTAATAAATGTCAAAGATGCTCGATAAAAACACCCAGGGCTTATTATCGGGGATGGCCTTCAACTCATTAAATGTCTAAAAATATAGGGGTGGGCTTATATTCTGGGAGTGGCTTATGGTTGGGAAGTACGGTACAAAAATGTTTTTTCATGATTTGTTAAAATTAGCTCTTTTTAGTTTGTGTTTATCAGACCTTGAACTATAATTCTTCATTTTTACAATTTTTATTTACAGAAGTATACTGTTCCTGATGGGTGGTTGTACAAAGAAGCAAGGGAATTGTTTAAAAAACCAAATGTTACTGCAGGTGTTGATATAGAGGTAATAAATGATTAGTTTAACAGAGGTCAATGCGATATTCTCTCAATGAGAACATTATAAATTTAGTCCCCCATTCTCCTGTCCTCCTCCTCCACTTGGTCTGGACCTGTATCATGGACTTGCCTTGGCTAATCACATTCAAACCACACACGCACACATCATGTATTTTGGGATATGTCGCCTCTATTCGTTTCATGGTCTTGTGCAAGATGGATGAATGGGGAGGGGGGGGGTCATTTTATTAAAAATTCATCATTTCTGCCATTTAGGTATGGATTAATTTCGTTCAAACAAAGTACATAATTGGACATTATGGCATGTTGATGCTATCATAATGTCATTTTTTTTTTGGAGATCAGATTCAAAATGCCAGACTGGTGGTCATTTTTGACTCCCATGTGCGAAGCACAAAATGGGAGTCTTTGCAGTTAGTGTGTGTGTGTGTGTGTGTGTGTGTATGTGTGTATGTGTACTTGGATTGCTATATGTTGCGAGGACAAAAATACAGATATATAGCTACTTCCGAGGACATACACACCTTCCGAGGACCTTTTTCATAGTCCTCGGAAAACATAATTTATATTAATAGTTAATTCGATTATTAATACGTTTTGCGTAGCTTAGG